AGGGTTAGGGTTAGGGTTAGGGTTAGGGTTAGGGTTAGGGTTAGGGTTAGGGTTAGGGTTAGGGTTAGGGTTAGGGTTAGGGTTAGGGTTAGGGTTAGGGTTAGGGTTAGGGTTAGGGTTAGGGTTAGGGTTAGGGTTAAACACGGCCCTGGCTCCATGGCTGCCCTTAGAAAAAGGCCGTCTATCACGTTTCACTTGGAGGAGCAACCATTCTTCCCCTAAGATACCCAGGTCTAGAGAAATAAAGATATACAGGAAATGGAACAGCCAGTTCTGAAGATTCTGCATTTTCACTGCCTGCCGTTTGAAACCATTTCACCAAAGAATTGGAGGAAAGCCACTTTGTTGTAATGTGTTTGTAACACTACGTGCAAAGCAATTAATTCAATTCAAGGAAAACCAGAGCATTGGCCCGGCATGGAAGCTGCCTACCTTGTCTCCATCCTCCCCTGGGGGGCCAACAGGACCTGCGGGGCCTGGAAGTCCAACTGGGCCTTGGATGCCATCTCGTCCGGCTGGGCCTTGAGGGCCTTTCTCACCCTAAGCACAAGGAGAAAGTCAGACTCTTCTCAGCCACAAACCCAGAAGCCATTGTTCCTTTCTCAGGACAGGGAGTATTTTTTAAGGCTCACTTTCTTGGGGTAATCTCAAAATTATGAGCTGGACAAACGAGCAAGTTATGAACAGGATGGATGGAGGCCCTTCCCATGGCCTGATTGCAATAAACATGGTTTCGCTTATGTTAGGGAAGCAGCCTTAAACAGAGCCCAGTCAGAGCCCTAGAGACTTATGGGCTTATGGCAGGGAGCACTTCCCCTGCCAGATCTGGCGGGTGTGATCCAAAGCAGTTGGGCTGCTCCGTCACACCACCCTCCTTCCAAAAACTCTTCTGAGCCAGGCCCTCCACTGAAATAGATGAATTTTCCCTGCAGCACCCCAAGAATTCAGAAAGGAAGGAGGTCAGGAGACACCGCTGGGGATTGACCCCAGAACTCTCCCTGCCAGGTGCTGGGACCTTCTGGCCACACAGAGACTCTCCCCGCCCACAGACACTTGATGTCTCCTGCAAGGCACATGCCATATTTCACAGCTCAGGGAACAGCTGGCATCCTTTCAGATTTCCTTCAGCCAGTTCTGTCAACTGGATAACCAAGGTGGGGCAAAAATAGCCAAGCCCATTCCCCATCTTCGTCATCCCAGGAAGAGGCTCCAGAGAATGAAATGGCTTGTGGGCATCCTTCACATACATTTGCACCACCGAGGGATCTTTCTTCCTCCTCCAGGATAACTGGGTAAAGAAAGACTTCAGGAGTGGAAATCAGCTGGCCTGGGTTGGGCTGCAGCTTCAACGTTTCATTCTCAAAGGCCCAGAGAGGCTGGCAGGAGAATGGGCTACCTGCCCTTCTTTCGCCATCTGCTTGTGCTGCCTGAATGTGGTTGCCAGAGAGCCCTTTCCTTCACTGCTGGCATCTAAGGCAGCAGTGACTGAGGAGGACTCAGACCAACAGCTCATCGGCCTCCTGAAAATGTTCCCATTGCCAGAGCTGTAGTGCAAACCTCTGCGATGGAGCTCAGAGAGATTAGTGCAATAGGCCCAGCGACCATATTTCAAACCCTCTCCCAGTGCATAAATCCAGTGATGGTAGTGGAGGGGGTGGGGGTGGGCATGGATCCGTATCAGTGATGCCTCTGCTTAATGCAAAATCATGAGGCTTGTCTCCTCTCCAGGGTCTGTGGAAATGGGAGGGAAGAGCAGAGTGCTGCTGGCTCCAGGAAGAGAGCAAGGAGATTTCTTCTTCCAGGCAGAAAAGGGTAACACAAGATTTGCTTTGATGGGTCAGGCCACACTCATTAGACCAGCAGCCATTAATAAAATCCCCTTAATAAAGACACTGCCTCCTGTCCCTGGTGGCTTGTCCCAAGTCTGTGACCCTTGGCAGGTATACTGCTCTGTCCATGGAGCCAACACACCGACAGGGCTCTGTGCCTCTCTGGGCAAGAGGAATGGAGAGCAGGTGTGCATCTATGAGCAAGTCTGTCTTAGCACTCTTGCCACATTCTCTGGTTCCTGCGTCAAGGAAGGAAACCAGCAGCTGTCGCTCCGTGCAATGGGGCGGTGAAGTTCTTCCTTCTTTCTCTTGGAAGTGAACTGGCCAAAGGCAAGTGGACCAGTGGACAGAGACAACAGTATTTATGGGTGGTGGAAGCACATGGAATTTGGGTGTGTGCCTGCAAGGGAGGAGGTGGCTAAGGGGAGGAATGATCGCAATCTACCAGTCCTTGAAGGGCTGTCCTAGGGGAGAGGAGGTGGACATTCTCTGTAGTGCCTGAGGATCGGACAAGAACCAACTACATGGAAATTTTATGGATGGGGATCCAAACTCAAAAGAAGGAGGAGGGAATGTCCTGGCCATGAGAGCTCTTAAGCAGTGACCAGCTGCCTCCTGGAGCTGTGGGGGCCCCATCAGTGGAGGCTCTCAAGTGAAGGTCGGATGAGGACTTTTACCTTGGGGGGAGGAGTGGACTAGAGGGCCTCCAAGATCCTTTCCAATCCTAGAAGACTATGTTTCTATAAATATGGCACCATGGGAGGAGACTGTCCATGCACTAATTGGCTGCCAAGGTCGCCATGCTCAGTCAGACCGGGAAGGTTTCTCCCCATCTCTGCCTCTGGTCCCCAGAATTCTTTCTACTGCCCTGGGCTGCAGCTCCCTTCCATTTGCATATAAGCCTCTAGGGCTTATGTGGGGCTCTGAGCCATTGCCATAAATAATGGGGAAGAGTATTGGCTTCCTCTTTTCTTTCCTTCAAAGAATCCGCCTCTCTGTCTGTCAAGGAGATCTGGAAGAGGGTAAGCCAGCAGCAAAGGAGGTCGGCCAGCAGTGTCCACCCGGGGGTCATCCCGCAAAACAATCCCCAGCCCTGCACTAATGACCAGCCAGAGCTGGCCAGTTCTGACTCCTCCTTAGCCCAGGAATGCCCCTTCCAGATCCAGACGGGGACGGGGTCCCCATCCTGGGTGTTCCAAGGAGTATTGGATGCTTGCCAAGTCAGCTGCCAAATCTGCTCCAGCCAATGGGGCACACACACACTACTTACCGGGGTTCCTTTCTCACCCGCAGGACCAGAGGGCCCTTGGGGTCCAGGGCGTCCTGGCAGACCGATTGGGCCAGCTGCTCCTGCAGGACCTCGCTCCCCTGGGGAGCCCTAAGAAGGAAGAGGAACAGGAAAGTTAGGGAACACTCCACCAGAAGCCAAAACTGCTGAGGAAGAGGACTGAGTAGAGGGTGGGCCACTTTGGCTACTGGCAGAGCCAGTGGCATCTCTCTCCTTGAAGCCCTCCACAGGTGTTGCGATGGGCTGCCCATGATTGCATCCATTCTACCTACAGTAGCTATTCTGACAATTGTGAACGTCTGGGGGTCAAGGTCAGCCAGATTGCTGGTTTGGGGCAAACCTGGGTTCTTTGCAGAGGTGAACAACCCTTTCAAAGCCTGCCTTGGAGGACCAGAGACCCTGGGTGAATCCCATTACCCCAGTTGGACAACTATCTCAATGCCTTCCAAGTGTGCTGGCCAACAGCGTGGGAAATAGTTCTGCCAAGAATACAGCCCAGATTGTCTCCAATTCCCGCAGGAAACCTTCCTGGCGTTGCTGCCCATTGCAGCTGCCAACTTTGAAATCCCATCCACTGAGACCTGAGGTGCAGTAGAAAGAGCACGGAAAAGACAAAAGAAGTTGCGCCACAAATATTTCCAAAGAAATGCCACACCTGCAGGATGCCCTTCCGAGTAATGAATAGAGCAATATCCGGGGTGCGTGTGAGGGGGACGGAAAAAGGCGAGATGGTGGGTGCGGCGTCATGAGGCAAGCCCCTCCCCTTCTATATGTGTGGGAGTGGCTTGCGCCATCTGCCATCTTGTCTTTCTCCATCCCTCCACCCCCTCATGGCTGAATGGATGCGCGACAGCAAAGAAACCATCAAAGAAAGATGAGGAACGGTATCCAGGTCTTCCATATGCCTTAGGTGTGTCTGACCAGGTTAGAGAAATGCTTAACAGAAAAGGAGAGGATGAAGCTTTAAGACAGTGGACAAACCACCAAAGGATAAACTAAGAGCCAAAGAAGTGTATTAAGCACGTTGCCAGATAGGAGTGGAATAAGAGAAATTGACACACCTCTGAATCGTGTCAATAGTGAGGAAAGTGACAGCTGTTCGTGTGGTAGCTGGTGGCTGGGGGGTCTTTCTGCCCCACTGAGCCCAGGCAGTAACCGAGGGCTTGAGACGAGCTCCGGGGCCAGGGCCAGATCTCCTCCGAAGCAGCAGCTGGTGTTGGCAAGCAGGCAGCCCAGCCCTCCTTTGCCCACCTGGCCTTACCAGGGGAGGCCCTCCAGAGGGCCTTGGCACCCTCCTTTTCTCCGGCTGCCCCTCCAGCCACACAGCTTGGGGGCAGCGGTGGCTGAAGCCAAAAGCCACCCAACCAAGCGACCCAACCCTCCTCGCGGAGGCGACCCAGAGAAAGGCTTATACTTACTGCTGGACCAGGAGGTCCCGGGGGTCCTTCGTTGCCCTTCAGCCCCACAGGCCCCTGCAGGGGAGGAAAGAAGGGTCACTCACTTGCCAGGTTGCCCAAAAGATGGTGGTTTGTGCTGGGGAGAGGGGGAGAAGAGCTCCCAACTTACAATTGGGCCGGGGAGTCCTCGGTCACCGGGGAAGCCTCTGAAGCCTGGTGGGCCGTCTTTCCCGGGCAAACCGGCGGGGCCTGGGTCACCCTGCAAGCACAAGATCACAGTTCAGATGGCCAGGAAACCAAACCCTCCCTTGCCCCTCGGCGCCCTCCCAATACGGGGCTGGGTGTTAAGAATTCAGGCTGGCAGTCCCAGACGACATTTTAAAGGTGGGATCCCCTTCCAAGTCTCGCATGATAAAATTTTACAAGTGGATCAGCATTGGTCTTAGAAGACGAAATGCCAGAAGTCTTTTCCTGTTCTGATACTTCTGGTAGTCTTGCCTCTGATGAGAGTAGATCTGAAAACAGATCTAACCCATAAAGGGATGGAAAGGAGATCTGCCTTTGGGCGGAAGGGACTCTGCACTGGCTCAAATGGCCAGCCGAGAATGTGCCCCCAGAGGGGCACAACCTAAGTTAAGGAACTTTTCCACTGCAAACGTAGGCTTGATGCAGGGTAACTAGGACACCATTGACATCATTCCTCCAGATGTTCACATGAACTGAGGACTCTGCTTAGGATCCTGGTGTGGAAGCAACCACTGAGCCACTCAGTCCACTCCCTGCTAGTGCAGGAACTAAACTTGAGCACCAGGGAGAGGGCTCTGCCTGAACACCTCCAGCGATGGACAGCCCGCTGCCTCCCGGGGACATAAAATGTTCTATTAAGAAAAACCAAACTAGCATTCAAGAATACTTGGCATGTTCTACACACATTCCTCCCCAAGAAAGAACCTCTACCACACTTCAGCCTTAAATTCCTCCAGATATTTGCTAAAACTAGGGCCCTCTTCTATCCTGGATGCCCTCTCTGTCCAATGGAGGATACCTCCAAGCAGACATACCTTTGTTCCTTCTTTTCCAGCCAAGCCAGGAAGTCCCTGTTCACCAGGGGGCCCTGGGGGGCCCGGATGGCCACGTTCACCCATCGGACCTGTTTCTCCTGTGGGGCCCTGCAAGAAATGGGGAGGTACCTTCAAGACAGGCATCTGGATATTTAATACCATCAGAAGAGGGAGTTGGGGGGTATTTCAGTGGATGCAAGCTGGTGGCAAGTATGGGGAAAAGCCCAGGATGGAAATACACACCTGTAATTAGATAGAGGCAAGTTCACACCATCCACCTCAGACTGATGTAGAAAATACCCAGTTTGTTCTCCCCCAAACAGAGCATAACTCTATCAGTAGGATATCAGTGTCCATATACACCTTGAAACGTCTTGTTTAAAGGGCCAAATTCACACAACAAACAAAGTGTGTTAATAAATCACAATGGACTGTCTTATGTGAAAACCTGGTTAAATTAGCTTTATGTGAAGCCTGGTTTACACAGCTAAAAACAGCAACTAGGTACCCATTATACATTGAACCACAACCCCATTTGAGCTTGGTCTAGCACAGTGTTGTCCAAACTTGGCCACTTTAAGATGAGTGGACTTCAACTCCCAGTTGGCTGGCTGGGGAATTCTGGGAGTTGAAGTCCACCCATCTTAAAGTGGCCAAGTTTGGACAACACTGGTCTAGCAGGTTGTGTGAACCCAGCAATAGTCTTTCTACACTCTGCCCAGTTGTGAGGCTCTGCAAATTGTGTGGAACTGCCTACATGTTCACACTGGCTGCTGTTGCTCCTTCCTCTTTGGGTTCAAGGCCTAGTTGTAGGCATCGGCCCAGAAGGAGTATTCTCCAGGAGGCCTGGGGCTGGATCAGGCCCTCGGCTCACCTAGTCCGGACTTACTGTCCCATAGTGGCCAACTGGGGGCATCCGGGAAGTTTGCAAGCTGGACTGGACAGCAGGAGACCTCTCCCCGTTGCTTCCCATCTACTCATGCTGTCGCTGGTGCCTAGGACTCGGAAAGCAGTTACGCAGCCCCGGAGAGGCGAATGCTTCTGCAACCTCTCCAGACCCTTCTTAAGACCATCCAAATTGGCTGCCACAGCACAAGCTGCTAATTTGTGTTTAACTGTACCCAGTGTGAAAGCGTACCTCCAGAATCTCCCTGCATTTATTTTGGGTCCCACCCTTCATGCTATTTGGCTCAAAATCCTGCCCAACCAGGATCCAGGGATCCGGACAGCACAGGAGTCCTTCATCTCAGAAGCACAGTGTGTTTGGAAAAGGCCTCGAGGCCTGAAGAGCCTGGCCGGCTTGAGGGCTCCCTTTGGAGCACGAGGCTCTCTCTGAACGAGTGAGAGCTGGTCCCATCCTGCCAGACAAGTCTTAACCACACATTCTGGAATCCTGGGATGATCCAGGATAGTCCTGGGAAAGCTCAGTTTTGAAGAGTGGGCTGCGTTGCCTTGCATCTTCCAAACTGATCCCAAATCATGGAATGTTGGGCAGTAACATAGAGGTCAAGTGTCTAACGCCCTGCCTGGGGTGGAACCCCCTTCTACAGGATCCTAACAGATGACCACTCAGCCACTCTGGAGTCCTTGGTGCTCTCTGAGTTTGGTTGTTTGCTTGCAGGCGTTTCATTACCCAACGATATAACATCATCAGTGTGAGTGAGTGTGGGGTTTGCTCCCTGTTTATATTCAGTGGATTGCCCATTCAGCCACTATATAGACCTTTCCAGTGAAAGAGAGTCTACCATTTCCAGGGCAGTCTGTTCTGTGGTCTACTCAGCTGAGTTCCCATTCAGGCTCCTGTGTGGGCAGAAGAACTTCACATTTCTGGGGGCCTTCCTGGAGCCCCAAAGCATTTTCTTCTTTCCAGTGTGGATGCCTCCCTGCTAGTTTCCCTTAATCCTTTGCTGCTGCTCCTCTGCTCAGCCTCTGCCCCATTTCTATGAAACCACGCTTATCTGCTGCTGCTCATCTCTGCAAGAGAGACCCTCCTCCCCCATATTCTTCCTATTTGTCTGGGGGCTTATTAAAAGAATGAAGCTTGGAGCCTGAGAGATTATGGTCACAGGATGCTGCAATGCCATTTTTGAGCCTCTGCCAATGCTGCCCCCTTGAAGGAGAGCAACATGGAAGGAGTGATCCAAGAGTTCCAGGGCCCCTGTCCCTCTCCAGGACGTCTCCACTGGGCACCTTGGCCTCCCTTCCCACCTGCTCCAGCCCTTTCGTGAGAACCAGGGCCGGACAGTCTTCCACTCTGAGCCCCTTGCCTCCTAGGCCAGGTTGCTCTCTCCTTGGGCAGGGAAGCCCCAAGTGTCAGTGGGGAGCTTCCTAGAGGGCGAACTGCTGCCCCATAAATTGCCCGCTTGCTGTTCCTTAGCTGCCAGAGCACCTGCCTGGGCTGGAGAAGAGGCCAATTCAGAAGAGGCCAAGTTATTCTCAGAGTGACCACAGGAGAACTGAACTTCTCTAAAACTGGGCCTTGAAATAAACCTGCAGTACTGATTAAAGCCTTTCTGCCTGCTATGTCTTAATGGGGGCTGGTGAAGCAAACTCACACTTGCAAAACAACGGGTCAGTGCAAGATCCTATGGCTGCATTCACACGTCATGCAGCATTTGGGCCACAAATTCCCCCTTCTCCTTTGTCAGCTTTTCTTTCTTAGAGGCTGGATGTGCTATGCAATCCCAACCTGTCTGGTTAGTTTATGATTCAGTGTAATCTGCAAACCCAGGAAATGAGCTAATTCAGAAACCTGAATGAAGAAGTGTGATCCAGCCAATGAATGGGTTCCAGATCTTGCCAGGTTGAGAACAGACCTGCCAGCATTACTGAGACAAGTCCCACTGGTTTCAATGGGCCTACTTTACATATGATCAATTCTGGAAGGGGGCTCTTTTGCCCACATAGGAGTCCCTGGTGATGGTGCGAAGGAGCAGCTGGAAGCCCTGGGAGGCTAAGGGAAGGTTTGCCAAACGGGTAGAGGAGCTTGGCCACCAGCTTTCGAGATCCTTCCCACAGCTGCAGGGTAAGGAAGTTACAGCCCCTGATGTGGGGTCCCAGGATGCAGGCCTGTGCAGGGCTCTAGAGGAGGCAAAGTTCCTGCTCTGAAGCAGAAGGAAGGAAAGGGAGGGCTCTCTCATTCCCGCCTCCCTCCACAGTCCCAGCCTGCTGAACCCAAGCTGTCCGGGAGACACGCAACCACAGTTGCACGTGATGCTTCCAGGATTGTTGCTAAGCGGCCCTGTGCTCCTTATGGTGCTTTGTAAACGTCAAGCTTTTATGACTAGGCATCTGGTATTGGCTGGGAAACGCCTTTGTTCCTTTACTGGATATAAAGAGCAGATTAACTTTGCAACTATACATGGCGATTATTGATCTGAACACAGGGAATAATGTCACACGGGGCCATTATCTTATGTCTTGGCTTGAAGCAAAGCCATTATAGCAGGAAAATATTGCTAGACAACCATTACACTGTTGCAAATTCCATTTGATAATGGAGCAGGGCTTGTCCATTCAGAGAGACGTCTCTTATTTATCTCACATCTACGGTCCAAAATAATTTGGACAGATCAGCTGTCCCCACTGAAAATTTCTCATCAGAAGAAAAACGGAAAGAAACTTAGCCAAGGACCTCAGAGGCTCTGCCAGAAGGATGTAAGGAGTGAGAATCTGAGCCTCGAGGATGGCCATGGTCTGTGAGAAAGCTCAGAGGAATGGCTCTGAGAATGAGGAAACGCTAGCACCACTTCTCAGCAAAATCAAGGGGCAGGTGCCACTCGAGTTCCAGAAAAGCACCAGTTACTTCAGATATTTAACCTTCTCCATCAACACACAAGCACTAAACCAGCCAGGAGGCTCTGCAATGCTTCAGATTCCAGGGGAAGCAGGGGTGCGTTGCAAGACCAGATGCCCCAATGCAGCGTCTGTCTGCAACTCAGTCATCAAGCTGTGGCTGTTTTCAGAATCACACGATAGAGGCAAGAGCCTCCTGTGTCGGCCGGCTGATACTGGACAGACCTGTGGCTGCTTCTGAGAGCGGCTTTCCATATTGAGGCCAAAGCTCTGCCAGCCCAATTAACCAGGTCAGCGTTTCATGCTTTGTATATCGTGCTAAGTTTGGATAACACTTTTTAATTACGTTGTTTTTGGTGGCTTGGTGTGTTGTGCAAACCCAGCTAAGGTTTCCAAGCAGACATCTATCTGGGGGAAAGATGGCACTATGTTCTTCCAGGTGCCAACATTCCCACTGGGTACTCTTGGCAGCTGTTTTCCAGATTTGTTTTAGGATGCTTTTGGGTCTGGCCTACCTGTCCAGCATCTTTCCCACCCTTTCATGAAGTACTGTGTCTTGACTAGGTCAACTTTGTCTTGACTTTCCTGCCTGATCTTCCAAATTGGTCCACTCAATGTTGGTTCAAAACCTGCCACACAATATCTATTAGTTGAGCGATGCTCCTTTTTTAATGTTCTTCTTTTTTTAATACAGTGGCTTTTATTTTTTATGGTTTTGTATTGTTTCTCAAACTCCTGTTAGTGTCCTTGCAGCAATACAATATTGGAAATGACAAAGTACATCGACATGTCTCCCATGTTTTTCTCTATAGTTAACCTCAACCCTGGTGTGGCCATCTTAGAAGCATCAGGTCCTGCATGCTGAATTTTAAGCAAGGGCAGAAAACTTCTCACATTAGCTTTGGTAATGTCACTGTTTCTGGAGATTACACTAATTACATTTTAGCATTTCCAAACATAATTAGCAGGCAGTAGACTTTTATACCTCAGAAAGCAGACATAAACATGTTATTTACCCTGTGATACAGAATTTAGCCTGCCATTAATCTGACAGAGTTTCTACTAATTAGGAGGTAATTGGAGAGTCATCAGATCTCCCACAGAGCTGGAAAAAAGGAAATTTGAGCAAAGAATCCGGGAGGTTTCTGAGGGGGGCTCACCTGGGGGCCAACAACACCTGGAGGTCCGGGTGGACCCGTCTTGCCTTGGAAACCCTGGGAAAAGAAGAAAGTGCCAATTAGAGGGCAAAATAGTCACTGTTCATGTATTGGAACAAATAATGGCAGACCGTCTTTTGATAAGCTTGCTTATTGCCTTTGAAAGAGTGAATATCCGATCCAAGGACGATAAATGAAGAAAGGAACCAGGATAGAGAGAGAATCTGGGTGTTCAACAGCCAGCCAACAGCAAAGAGAACACAAAAGGCTTAAAGCTGAAACGCTGAGAAAGAAGGAAGGCAGATGCAGTCATTTTAAGGGGTGAAGGTTCTCTGGTGAGCTTATTTATTTATTAAACAAACTTATGTAGCTGCTCATCTATCAGGATGACTTCTAGGCCACTAATTCTGTCCCGGGGAGCCAGGAGTCCCAGCTGACAACTGAGATGATGGAGACCATTGGTCCCCCAGAAGACAACCAATGGTGCTAGAAGGGTGAATGTTTTCTTCCTTTTTTACTGCCCCAAATATGCTACTCCAATTTTGCTGCCTATACATAGGGAAACATGGGGAAGGGAGCTTTAAGTTAGCCCAAGGCATATTCCTTCAGGGCAAGAAAGAACCCCAACATGCCTGTCCATGAAAAGAGGATGTAGAAACAATTAGGATCTTATGTAAAAAAAGAAAGAAAGAAAGAAAAATGTGGAGCCAAGGGGTTGGCAGAACAATGCATGTGTCCATTATTCACCTAAGCAGCACTGAATTTTGGGTCTTCAAGGAGATCCTAAACCCACCCTCTGGCCTCTGCCACCAGGACCCACCTGCACTGTCAGAGCAGCAGCAGGAAGGAGCAAGAGCCAGAGGAAAGAAGGCTCTAGATGTTGATTGTGGTCCTGCTGGAGAAAGGAACTAATGCCCCTGCTTCATCAAGTATGTGGGAAATTTGAGAGTCCCCTGATTTAGATGAATTAAAAGGTGCCAGAACTTGGAAATTCAACCAGTACTTCCTCTTTCTGTCATCACAGTAGCCTCATTTGAAAATGGTCTCACTAGGCAGATCACCTACAGCTCCATGGAGAAAAGGGCTGACCATCCCTTGGAGGTGCCCCCCTTTCAACAGCCCCCTCATTATGCAGAGATTCAACACATCCAATCTTTGGAAGGAGGTACAATGAGTGAGCAGAACCTCCAGGGGTATAAGGGTCAAATAACCTGAAGTTCAAATGCCTTTCCATTCCTCTACACAAGAGTTGCTGCTCAGAGAACATTTAAACTGGAAACTGGTCTTGCTTCCTGAAGGCTCCTGGATGCCTTGGCTCAGGCAAGCTTCAGTGATGTCCCCTGTGCTGTGGAGCCCAGGAGATTAAGGAAGCTTTCCAACATCCTGGAGGAAAAGGATTATCTGGACCCTTTTCAGTCGGGTTTCAGGCCCGGATACGGGACGGAAATGGCACTGGTCGCACTCATGGACGATCTCTGGCAGTAGCGGGATGGAGGTAATGCATCCATCCTTGCTCTTCTTGACCTCTCAGTGGCTTTTGATACCATCAACCATGGTATCCTTTTGGGTTGACTTGGGGAGTTGGGAGTGGGCGGCACAGTTTTGCACTGGTTCTCTTCCTTCCTCCAAGGTCAATCCCACTTAGTGTTGATTGGGGGCGAGAGGTCTAGCTTGCAGCCCCTCCTTTGTGGGGTGCTGCAGAGTGTGGTACTCTCTCCGCTCCTTTTTAACATCTACATGAAACCATTGGGTGAGCTCATCCGCACCATGGGATGAGGTGTCATCAATACGCAGATGATACCCAATTATACATCTCCATCCCGGGCGAGGTGAGTGATGCTGTGACCACCCTTTTGCAGTGCCTGGAGGCTGTGGGGGTCTGGATGGGGTGCAACAGGCTTCAGCTGAACCCTGGGAAGACCAAGTGGCTGTGGATTGGAGGCCCCTCTGTATCCAAGGATTTACCATCTTTGGTTTCGGACGGGGTTGCACTGCCCCAAACAGACCCAGTGCGTAATCTGGGGGTCCTCCTGGAATCACAACTCCTGCTTGAGAAGCAGGTGGCAGTCATGGTCAGGAGGACCTTTGCCCACCTTCAGGTGGTATGCCAGTTATGACCTTTCCTGGATCAGGAGGCTCTCCAGTCAGTCACTCATGCCCTGGTCATCTCTCGGCTAGACTACTGCAATGCGCTGTACATGGGCTACCTTTGAAGAGTATCTGGAAGCTACAGCTGGTTCCAAATGCAGCTGCACGGACAGTTTTGAGTGTCCGGAGAACTGCATATGTAACACCTTTACTGTGAGAGCTGCATTGGGTCCCAGTCTGCTTCTGGGTCCAATTCAAAGTGTCGGTTATCACCTTTAAAGCCCTACCTGGGTCCAGGCTACCTGAGGGACCGTCTCACCCCCGTCACATCAACCTGTCCCACCTGGTCAGGCAGAGAGGGCATGTTGCGGACCCCATCAGTGAGAGAATGTCAGCTGGTGGGGCCCAGGAGGAGACCCTTCTCTGCCGTTGCTCCTGCCCTTTGGAACATTCTCCCCCCAGAGGTGCGGCAGGCCCCCACCCTCCTGGCCCTCCGGAAAGGATTGAAGACCTGGATCTCCCAGCTTGCATAGGGTGACAACAATCTTACCCAATCCTGGGGGTGGCTGGCGCCTTGATGATGCTCCCTGAGTGACTGCCAATTATTCTTGGATCTATTTATTTTCTATTTATTAATAGTAGATTGTAATTTTGTAATTTTAATTGATTTTAACTGTTTTGTAAGCCACCCAGAGTTGTTTCAATGAGATGGGCAGTGACAAATTTGATAAATAAACAAACAAACAAATAAATAAATAATAATAATAATAAAAAAACATAGAGACCTCCGCTCACAGGCTGAAGTGATGCTCTTTA